ACAAAATGAACTCTTATGCTACAAAATGAATATTTATCAGCTTTTTCAAGAGGACAAATTAAAATAAACTTTTGGGTAAAACTGTCGCTGTTTTCCCCCCATTTGTGTTTATTGTGAAGTTTCTCTGAAATTTAATTTCAATTGGCATTAACGAGGTCTTAAAACGTCTGTAGGAACCCTCATAACAAAAAGCTGTTAATGTTGCACACTGTCTTTTAGAGATGTTTTGCATTTGTTTGTTTTTTTTTAAAAAACATCTGTTTTTTTAATGCTTCAGACATGCAGCGATCTATAAAAATGTCCTCGTGTTTTGCCCTCTTTCCTCTCATTTGCATGTTTACACTGATTGAATACAGACTGCGTGACTTCCTGTTGGTACAGCTCCTTCAAGTCTCACGCTGGCCTCGCAGAATCACAGGAGGGACAGCAGTGTTTGTTCAGCAGTGGGGTTATTTTTGATGCTGCCTCTGAGGCACATGAGCTTTTACCCCTATTTCACCTCTGTGTAGTCTACTTCTGACATTTACATCACCTCCTCATACCATCATTTTAAGTGATGAAACAATATGTTAGATGGGTGATAGTAATGCTTTATTGTGATCATTCTTATGGCTCTTTTTTGTAAAATAAAAATAGGATTAGTGATTGTTTTACATGCAATTTTTCAGACTTCTACACAATAAATCAAATTTGGAACAATTATTGCATTATATAGTATAAATAGTGCTTTATCTTTAAATAACTCCTTGAATTTTTACAATACAGCAATAGATTTTGCCATTTTTGTTCTTAAGTGATTTATATGAGGTTTCCATGTCAGTTTTTTGTCAATGATGACACCCATTTAGCTGTACTGTCTTCTGAAAGAGCCTAGCATGACTTATCTAAACTAAGACAAACCAGAGTTTTGCCTCTAAAGTGCGACTTGGAAGTATCTCATGAAGGATTTTACTGATAGATTAGGGCTGAGCAATTAATCAGATTTTGATCTTGATTACGATTTGGGTTTTCAACTATCATAAAAACATAACGATCGAAGTTCGCAGTTTACGCTTACGCTGTTTTGTGTTGTGAATCCAGTGCCGTAGCTAGCATGATGCTGCAGGCTCCTCCCACAGCTAAAGTTTCACTTTGTCTAATTTTTTCAAAAATATTTGAAATCCCGAGGGAAACCTTGTTTAACAGCAATTGTTTATGTTCAATACATTCATGTTATCAAAGTCAATAAATAATTTTGTTAAATAATTGAGATTTCAATTTCAATCAAAAAAAAATTGTGATTATAATTTTTGCAGTAATTGAGCAGCCCTATGATAGATTTCTTTTAACATGTATCAGTAAAACACCGCCTGAAATGAATGACAGATAGCTGAACGAACCGTTTATGTAAAGTCTAATCTGCTTATGCACATGTGGTCACCATTAGCTTTCCCTGAACGGATTAGCTCATCATCCTCTTGTAGTTCCTCAGCTGCAAGGTCACTTTTAATCATTCTTTTTGTTTAAATGCGACTCAGTAGTCACTCAGAATTTAAAAAAAAAAAAGAAAAAGCCTCGAGTCTTGTCACTTGAATGCAACATTTTGTTTGAGCAGACATGGAGTGGTAGGTCTGCTTTTTATTTTACTCCCTCACTCGCTAAAAAAGAACTTGTTTTAGTTTCACGTGGGTCATCAATCAAAAAGCGACTTTGTTTCTGTTCCTCATAAATTTGCTGTCAGATGGGATGACTTGAAAACTCACASTTCCCACTTTAACAGACGTTTTTGTTTTAGTTTCTGTTGCGGTCTGTGTGTTGCGGTTGATTTTTTGAAATGATCTGTTATAGAGAGCTTTACATGACTTGTCAAATGTTTGTGCGAATCAGCTGGAGGCGAGAGAGGATGCCAGCAGTAATAAGGATGCGCGGTTTCAGTGTGACGAAGAGGAGCTAAAGATGCACCAGCTCAACATCCAGGTGCGCGAGGTCTTCGCCAACCGATTCACTCAGATGTTCGCCGACTACGACGTGTTTGTCATCCAGCCCAGCCACGACAAAGAGTCCTGGTTCACCAACAGAGACCAGATGCAGAACTTTGATAAGGTACAGGGTCGTAGATGTTTTAGGAATTCAGCCGTCAGGATGTTGTATAAACTATAATATAAATGTTTTTTTCTGTACGCAGGCATCCTTCCTGTCTGACCAACCAGAGCCCTACCTGCCGTTCCTGTCACGCTTCTTGGAGACTCAGATGTTTGCCTCCTTTATCGACAGCAAGATTCTTTGTCACGACGACGAGGAGAAGGACCACACTCTGAGGGTGTTCGACTCCCGTGTGGAGAAGATCCGCATGCTGAACGTCCGCACACCGACCCTGCGTACCTCCATGTACCAAAAATGCACGAACATCGAAGAAGCAGGTAAGGAGAAAAGACGGATTGTGTGAAAAAAAAAAAAAAGAAAATCAAAGTAATTATTTTTATAAATATAAGAATATTCTTGAAAAGAAGCTTTTTGAAACTCTTATTTTGAAGTCCAGATTTCTCAGACTTCTCGTTTCTGATTGGTAATCAGTGTCTTGTTTGCAGACCAGCTGCTTAAAAAGCGATATGAAACAGCTGATGTTGTTGCTCCTGGACCCCGAATCATTGGGCTGGAGAATCACGAGGCCAATCATCGTAAAATTTATAGCTATCTTGATCGRTCATGGGTGGCAGGGCCTTAATTGTGCAGTGCATTGTGTGAGTGGGACACCCACAGAGGATGGACTTGGTTCTTTTGACTTGTGTAATAATTTTAATGCATTTTAAAAAGTTTCATTTTAAAAAAAGAAAAAGCCTAGATTTTGCTGTTGCTTTTCACAAAATATAATTATAAGAATAATCTGTAAGCTCCTCTCTGCACTGCATATATGCCAGTTTTTAACAAAAAACATGGTGAACAAACTTTTAATAATTAAATCAATCATTTCTTTTCATTTTATTTTCTTATAACATCAGATGTACGATAATAAACTTTGATTTTTCTGTTCTCAGGCTGTTCTAACACCTGTTTATCCCACCTCCTCCTGCTTTATGCTCTTTCATAAACTATTTAAAGATAAAATTTCTCACTTGGTTGTTGCTTTTGTTCACTCAGCTCTTGTGTGGGTGTGTTTTTTTTTTCTGATCAGTCGTCAGAAATCACTGTCTGAAGGAACATTTGTTTGCTTTCTTAGAATAAAAGCTCTTCTGAGCCTTTTTTGTGGCTTCTTTTGATTCCGTGGGTGTTGGGGTGGAAATGTTTCACTCTTTAATTTTAAGATGTCTTTGTTGTTATCAGTGTGTCTTTTTTAAAATGTGACATCATTGTTCCCTGTCACACTATGATAGATATATTTATTTTGACATAACGTTCAGAAAATGTTGCAAGATGATTAAAAAATTAAGAAAAGACAAGACAATTACCTTGTGAGATGTTAAAGTTTTGTTAGTTCTGTGTCTCATCTATTTTTAATGACACTGTTGGAGTAAATGGCACACTTAGCCAATCAACTATACATGTTTTTTATTTTAATTAGTGTCTTTAAAAGTACTGAATATAGCAGGTTGAGCAACTTAATAATAAAGATTGAAATTGATATATATTTTTTTATTGTTAGATTTGACCCAAATCCAGTTTTCACWGTTTGGGAAAGTTATTCTAACACAYATGCGTGGTGTAATCTCCACAGAGAAAGCCATTGAGATGAGAGTGTCAAAGATCGACCACACTGCCCTCCACCCCCACCTGCTGGACATGAAGATCGGTCAGGGCCGATACGAGCAGGGCTTCTTCCCCCGGCTGCAGTCTGACGTGCTCTCCACTGGACCCACCAGCAACAAGTCAGTGTCTCATATGGTCATGATTTAGGCCACGTCTGTGTGGAAACACACTGGGTGGCAAATATAAAACAAGGAGCAGAGGATGACCTTGGGTTGTAGGTTAGTTTAGATGTGGGACTATGATCATGTAAAGGGTTAAATGTATATTATAATTCAAGGATGGTGTTTAATATTTGTTTCAAACTAGAACCCATTAAAAAATTGTACAATTCTGGGGTGCCTAAAATGCCATTTCTGTGTGAAAGTAAGGCTGAAAACATTTTTTAAAACGTTGTGGGTATTCACCAACAAAATGCTCCTGGGTTGACAGCTCTTTATGTTCTTTTGAAATATATGTTTTGTATTTATTCTACCTCAGCCCGCCAGCTGTTTAATGTCGTTTTGTGCCACAGATGGGCAAAGAGAAGCGCTCCTGCTCAGTGGAGGAGGAGGGATCGACAGAAGCAGCACGCCGAGCACCTTTATTTAGACAACGACCAGAGAGAGGTGAGAAGTCCTGCCTTTATTTTCAGCACTTTCTCACCGGGTCTTGTTTTCTCTGCTCGTTTTGCACGGTCTTATTTTAATCTGCTTTTATTTTGACTTCCCTCTTTACACTGTCCTCTGAACTCTCACCCCCCACCCTCGTACTTCTGGCCCCTTTCTTTTGTTTTGTCTTTGTTTCTCTGCCTTTCTTGTGCTCATGCTCACTCACTCGCAGCATGTTGAGTGTTTGTTTCCGGAGCGGCAGCTCCTGCTGTTTCTTGACTACTACTGGCTCTCGCAGTCCTTCAGGCCCTGTCTAAAGTCGGTGACTGTGGACGTGGTATGTGTTGGTAGACCACAGACCAGATGACATGTCCACACTTGTGGACTTAACTTCTGCTTCTGTATCTGTCAGCAGCTCAGCTTAGGTTTTGTTTTTTCTGAATTGCTTTGTTCAGATAGAAGGATTTATTGTAAAACGCTGTTTAAACACTGTTTAAATCTGTCAGCTAATTCCAGCTTTCTTTGTTTAAATGTTTTACAAATGTTTATTAATCGATTTCTCTTTCTTTTTATCAGAAATACATCCAGGAAGCCAGAAACTTAGGAACCACCATCAGGCAGCCTAAACTGTCCAACCTGTCACCTTCTGTAATCGCTCAGACAAACTGGAAATTTGTTGAAGGCTTGCTGAAGGAGTGCAGGAACAAGGTTTGTGTCTGTTGTGCCCTGAGATCTGCTCTGTCATGTGAAATACAGCACATAACAGGGTTTACAACTCCACCTACGTTTTGGCATGCAGGTTGTTTTGCATTTAATAAAGTCAAGTCATAAAATCAAGGTTATTTACATCAGAGAAACTCAAACTTTTTCGGTCTGGGTACCCCTTAAAAGGGCAAAGAAATTCCAGGGACCCCCTCAGAAACACCATGCTGATAATTTACTGTCATTTCAACCCCTAAATGCTATGGGAATATATTTTATATTTAGTTTATTGTAGGGCTGGGAAATTAATCAAGTTAACTCTGATTAATTTTAGTGCTGCATGGGCATAGATTAAAATTTTAATCGCTATTAAAATTTACAATCACTTTACTATGGCTACATAGGTATGTATATTGCAATGCACTCAGTGTATGCCAGGTCAGGTTTGTAAAGGTAAAGTGGTTCTCAAACAGTTTACCTGGATAAATTAAGGTTAAATAAATAATATAAAAAAACTCCTTGTACACATTATGTACATTTTTTTTGTCTCCTTATGGCTTGTTATTTTTATTTATTTAATAAATAAATAATATTTAATATTTTAAAAATTTAAAGTTTTATATTAAGTTTAAGATTAATCATGATTAATCGTGATTAATTCACAGTTACCTTGGAATTAATAGATTAAAAAATTTAATCATTTGACAGCCCTAGTTTATTGTGTTTGTTTTATTATTTTATTGTTCCCCATGCATTTTTAAAAATAAAAACCTAATTAACAATTTTGTGACATTTTTTGAGGACCCTCAAGATGCCTCTCGCAGACCTGAGAACCTCTGATTTAAATGTTTGGAAACAGTAGTGCATAACTACTTTTTAGGTTTCAGTAATCAGTTATTTTATGTTCAGAGGCCTTTAAGAAAGGAATACAAAACAAATAATTTTGACCATTTTCTTGTAAGTTCAGTTTGTCTTCTTTAAAGTTAAACACTAATGTCAAAACAATTCTAAGAACTGATAAAAGCAAAGTAACACTTGCTTTACATGTTGTCTCATATTTGTACGTTGGTTTCTTCTGAACAGAAGTCATTCTGAATTAAAACAACTAAACAAAAGGTTCAAACAGTTGTTGTTCTAAGAACCAACATGGCTGCGTGCTGCTTTTGTTTCTCTGTAGACAAAGCGTATGCTGGTGGAGAAGATGGGCCGGGAGGCTGTGGAGTTGGGTCACGGGGAGGTTAGTATCACAGGCGTAGAGGAGAACACCCTGATCGCGAGCCTCTGTGATCTGCTGGAGAGGATTTGGAGTCACGGCCTTCAGGTTAAACAGGTTCGTCAAAAAAACACAATCCACTGTTGTTGCTGTGGACATGATTGGACTGCTGGTGGTTTCGGACAACTTTCACAGCAAGTTGTGACAAATGTGTGTTTTCTCATTCAGGGTAAATCTGCCTTGTGGTCCCACCTCTTGCATTACCAAGACAGCAAAGAGAAGAATGCCACCCCGGGCAGTTTGGGACCTCCGGGTAAAAGCTCACATCTATGCTCTTGAGCAGAAAACCAGTTAATATTTGCAAATGTTCATGCATTTTATTTCCCACCAGGGTTCATCCATGACACTGAGAGGAGGAAATCTGATGGAGGTGGATCAGCCATGCCTCCTCTCAGAATCTCTCTGATCCAGGACATGAGGTGAGGAAGAGTGTGGTTGTTAAACTGTGTTAATGTCATCATGRGGATCTAAAATAAACAGCTGTGGTGTAATGTTTGTTAGACCAACACTGCCCCCTCGTGGTCAACTGGGAAAACTGCAAATCTATTGCGTAACATTCATTTACAGAAAAGACTTCATGCACACAGTGGGAAGGAAGCTGTTTGATTACAGCAAATATTTAGCTTAAACCTTTTTTTTTCTAATTGTCAGTAAATTTTTAAAAATGTGTTCTGTTCAATTAAAAAGGGAGCTTTTCTCAGATTTAGACGTGCTTTACAGTAATTTTTATTACATCTGCAATTTACTCCTCTGCACCATCAATTGTTCAATCTCTTAAGCTAAATATATATTTAAGTGTTTCTGCTTTAATGTCAACAACAACTTGAGCYTTTRGTGTTTTTTACTGATTATAGCAACGATAAACAATGTTGTACAAAAACAGTGTTAAATCAGCATTYTAAAATCATTCACAGACCAAGAACATGTTGGTGAAAGAAAATGAACAAAAGTATACTTTTTCTATAAACTGTACACATAAATGTATGTGACAGGTGTAGGAGTGCACCTGCTACATTAATGCACACGTTTTTGGTCTCGCCCTTCTTTAGCTAATTTCTGGAAATCAGTCTTCCGTACTATATCTGAAGTTTTGAACTGTGAGTTTAAGCCAAACCCTTCTCCGCCATTTTTTGGAGTTGCCCCAGATCTGGACTAACTACATTCAAATAAAGAATTCAGGGTTYTCTCCACTGGTGGTAATATTTAAATTACAATGTTGTTTTTATATCTGTGATCTGTTTTATTGTTTTTAATTATTTTTATTTATTGCTTTCTGTGAAGCACTTTGT